GTCTGGTCACGCACAGTAGTGGAGGCGCAGCGCTCGGTGGCGCGATCGGACGCAGGAGTAGTGGAGCGACCGAACGTGTAGGTGTAAAGCAAATACGCTGATGTCGCACACGGAGAGGAGGCCAGTGAAGACCGGACGCCGCGGTGCGTTAGGTCACGTTCGACCGGGCGCGTCCGGTTAGCTTTTATCGGCTCTAGAACCTTTCTGGAGTCGATCTAACGCTAAGGGGCTTAGAGTCCGGTCACTGAGTGGCGCGTCCGATCACTCGTTGACTATGGCGTTGAACATTAAGTGACCGTTAGGATCCGATGGCCGTGGTTTGAAAGAGGACACGTGGATGGCTAAGGGCGACTGGATGCTGGCCGACCGGACGCTGGGGTGCGTCTGGTCAGCCCACAAGCAGAGCAACGGCTCTATTTCTAGAGGGCGTCTATAAATAGTGTTTGGTCAGCTTGGGCTCACTCTCTTGGCACTTTGACATACTTGACATCCTTGTGAGCCTAAGCAAACACCTCTCACTCATCTTCATCATTGATTCATCATCATAGTGAGATTGGGAGTAATTTCAAGTGCATTTACTTGAGTGATTGCATCTAGTGGCACTTGGGGATCGTTGTGGCTGCGGATTTCTTGTTTCTCTTGGTGGTTGCCGCCACCTATATGGCTTGGAGCAGCGGAGGAGCTTTGGCACGTGTTGGTGATTATTCGTGGCTCGCTCTGGTGATTGTGAGAGGTCTTGCACCTTCCCCAGTAAAGAGCCGCAATGTAGCTCTAATAAATTGCTCGTGTCATTGAGTTACCTCACTTGTGGGTAGATTCTTACGGCGACTCTTGTGGTCGGCTAGGTGTGTGATACCTATTAGCCGTTGAACCATCAAGTGTTGGTTGACACAACGGGGACTAGCGTGCCGGCAAGCACGTGAACCTTGGAAGAAAAATTGGTGTGTCACTTGTCTCTTGGATTTCTCCCGGTGATTGATTGGTATTCATCTTGGTTCATCCCTCGATATGGCGGCATAATCACCCTACTCTCTCATTTACTTTCCCACAAACTAGTTGTTAAGCTCTTTAATGTAGCTAGTCTTTGAGAGCTTGTAGGTTTGGTTATGTGGCTCTTTAGTTAGCCCATGAGAGCACACTAGCTTAGTGAGTAGTGACTTAGCTATTATGTGTGCTAGTGATCATAGCAACTAGAATTGTTGGGATAGGTGGCTTGCAACCCTTATAGAGCTAGAGCAAAATTGTATTACGCCTTTTATGATACTAATTAATTTGCTCTAGTTGGTTTATAGATTTTTAAATAGGCTATTCACCCCCCTGGTCATATTAGGACCTTTCAGACCTCAGCAAGGAGATGTTACGCTAAAAGCGTATGTTGCAAACATATGTTTTAAGTGTTTTAGAGTTATGTTGCAAGTGTTTTATTTGGATGTTGCAAAAGTAGATCAAATATTACATATGTTGCAAGTGTTTCATGCATATGTTGCAAGTGTTTTATACGTATGTTGCAAGCATTTTTCAAAATGTTTCATTTGTTTCAAACGTATGTTGCAAATATTTAATCTAGATGTTGCATATATTTCACACATATATTTCAAGAGTATGTTTTAAATGCTTAAGTTGTTTCAGTCGTATGTTATAGCAAGTGTTTGATCTGGATGTTGCATATGTTTTACACATATGTTTCAAGCGTATGTTCTAAATGTTTCAGTTGTTTCAGTCGTATGTTGCAGCAAGTGTTTGATCTGGATGTTTTCACACACGTATGTTGCAAGAATATGTTCCAAATATTTTAGTTGTTTCAGTCGTAAATTGCAGCACGTGTTGTCATATTGTAAGTGTTTCATTCATGTTTCAAGCGTATACTCTTGGATGGGGTGATCGGAGTCTGTGGCGTGCATTGCAGGTGGGGTGTGCGAGTGCACGGAGCACACGCGGGAAGCGGTGCCAACACAGGCAGCCCTCGCGTGCGAGATATGGAGCGGGCACAGGTGGTCTCCGCGTTATGCATGGGAAAAGAAGGAGGGCGCGGGCGGTCCCCTCGTGCAGGTGCGTGAAACGGAGCGGGCTTGGGTGGTCCCCGTGTACGCGTGTGGGCGTGGGCGAGCGAATCGTTGGCGGTGTGGCTTTTCCCGTGGGCACACATGACGGAGGAGGCGCGTGCGTCGCGCTCGTCCGTGTGGACGTCCGAGCACTAGTATCTACGCTCCTGTTTCACCAACAATGTTTGGGTCTGTGGCATGTGATTAGATATAATTTATGAATTACTAATATAATCCGCACAATTGTATAACCCGCAGGAATTAAACCCATTTATGGGTTCACGGATGAAAACGCTTACATACAGGCAACCACCCTCTCTTGACTACGGCCAATTTTCAATTCCCTCGGATGGAAAGCAGTTTATCAACCTGTTCGCTTGTTGGTTTCAGCCAGGACTTATCATTCAACCAATAGTATTTTTCTCTCACAACAAACCAGCATCAGCCGGGCTTATCAGCCCAGAAAACAACCAGCTGAATAGGCCGTATATAGTTATTTTGGTTCATGTAAAAGCTTATTCAATTCCCTTTTTTTCCTTTCTCCTTTTCTTTTTTGACTGTTACATGAATTTTAGTTATTTATATTTATCTTTTTCCTTTATAGTTTTCATTTTTATTTGTTTTGTTTTATTATTTTCTTCATCTTTTTACTCCTAGACTGAAGAATTATTCTCGTGCATACAAATGTTATTCTTCTAAATTATGACATATATTATTACTATCTTAAATTAAAGTCTTTTATTTATTTTATTCCAATTAATTTGTTAGACTCCTGGACCGGAATATTATTCTCTTAGCTTGAAATATTATCAACTTGAATCTTGAATATTATTCTCTTAGACTAGAAGTAATCTTCACTGAAATGATCACACATCTCACAACTCACCTACAAAATGAGACACTAGAAAATTTCCTTGTATAATTAGGCTATGCTTGTGTGTATGTAATGAGCATGGTCGGACACATAAGGGCTTAAGCTATTCCAATCATATCCATACGTTGGTACTTATTGAAATGCAGAATGATTTTGGTTTGGTCACCAAATGAACAAAAAAAAAATGGAAACCATCTAGATATTTCGAATGCACCCTGTTGTACATAAAATTTCATGTACCCAACGCTAAATTGGAACCATTTCATTTGTATTGGAAAATGTTATATGAAAAGGAAAGGGAAAGGCAGAAAAATGTCATCTTTTAATTTTTATAATTCAACTTTGACAGATCTCCTAATACATTCTGATTTCAATGTTAAAACTGTGGTGCAACGTAAAAGATATGTTTAATTTTTACCAAGATCTAGATATAGATTTGGTGCACAAACTGAAAAAAGTTTGTTCGCTTTATTGGCCCTGTTCATTTCTCTTATAATCTATACTTTTTAGCTTGTTTTTTTCAATTCGAACAGTATTTTCTCTCACAACGAATCAGCCGGAACAGTGTTTTGACTTCTCTTATAATGAGAGGAATTGATCCAGAAAACTGAATGCATGATCTTTGTTCTAAGAGTGGACTAGCTCAATATCTTCCCCCATTTGATGGCCCAATTATCAGGACACGAATTTAGTGAAGAGCTTGTGTCTGTAAACGTTTAGAAGACCAAAACACATCGCGAACTATAGGACGACGCAGGACGGCAGGATGTCTTCGTGACAACTGTGTGTGGGCATGTTTCCCCACCTACGGAAACACATGGGATAAATGCCAGAGCCTCTTTGGGTTCGTGAGTTTGTCTAGTTATAATTTTTGTCCTGTTTAAGTTTGAAGTAAATCCCCACCTAATCTTCCTCACCTAAAATCGGACAGGGATTTGTGGTGGACCCCCCCAAGTTTGGCGGTCAATCGGTGTTCAGACTACAGAGTAGTAGAGTTTGACAGGAAATGGTCAGCATACTTTATCTGTTGCCGTCCCCTGTAGACTATTGGAATTGTGCTTGTCCTTACTCGACAGTGCTGAAAACTAACTACAGTCTACAGCATCTCTCGCATTGACCGTTTGGTATGTCCACTGCTGGGGTGTGGCTCGTCCACTGCTGGGGTGTGGCTCTCCGGGACACGTCAGGGTAGACAGCCGGCCTCTAATAGTTGACACAGGGGCTTTGGTTGACTTTTCACGGCCGCGGGCCCACGATACAAATCACCATTTAATTTTAGACATGTGCCCAATAAATCACTACTCTGATCCACCATTGAATAATTTTGTTTTTGTTTCTCCACATACGAGTTGTTTTCCCCCGAAAGATCCAGCATTTCTCAGGCATATAAAGAATCACAAGTTCTTCAATGTATCAGTGTTTTTCAACATACGAGATGAGTTTATAAAGTTAAATTTTTTGCGAATCAACGTGGTGCGTTATTTTGTCACACCTCGTATGCTCTCTCTCTTCTCTATCTACGTACTTCCCTATGGGATGAGCTAACCACATACCCGTGTTTTAGACGTGGGGCAGACGAGGGAGTTTTTTTATCTCGCTCGGGAAAGTCCCCGAAAACAACGCGCGGAGGCCACACTTGGGGCTCAAACCCGCACCGCGAGGGTGCTACTTAGAGCGCTAAACCAGCCATCCTAGCGTCCGTTCACGTCGGGATGAAATTTTAAAAATATTGCCTAAAATTTTCAAAAATAAAAGAATAGGATGCGTGTTTTTTTATTTGTTCAAGTTCATGCAGAAACACGCAACTGCAAATCTGTTATGAACTCGAAAAACATGGTGTCTCCTTTTTTTCCCTGAGAGAGGGCGTTTGGAAAATTTCAATCATGCGCGAAAATGCAAAAATCGCACAAAAAAAGGGTGGAAGACCGCGTCACATTTTACACGCGGCCATCTCGAGTCGCCGGTCTCGCCGCTACGTACGCACTGGTGCAACTACTCCCTCCCTCTCGAGCCGCCAACAAAACTTGGTCCATCAAGAAGCCGCCGGACTTGCCGCGTCCCGCGTGCGCCGCGCCCCAGTACCCATGCCGTTCTCCTGCTTCGCCGCCGGCGCCCGAGGTGGCGGCGATCCGTCCGCGGCGCCGCCATCCTCCTCGGCGACGTCCGTCTACTGGACCCACCTCGGCGGCGTCACGCTGACGTGGTCCCGCGCTCCGATCGGCCTCCTCCTGGCCGCGGAGCTCCGCCTCGCCGGGGACGACGAGCACGACGGCGACACCGCGCCCGCGCGGTTCGCGTTCCGGCCGTGGCTCCCGTGGCGGCGGCGAGGGTCGAAGCGGTTCTCCGCGCCGGGCGGCCGCGCCGTCAAGTTCTCGTGGGACCTGTCGCGCGCCCGCTTCGCCGCCACGGGACGCCGGCCGGAGCCCGTGTCCCGGTACTCCCTGCACGTCTCGGTGGACGGCGAGCTCGCGCTGGCCGTCGGGGACCACGCGCCCGTCGCGTCGTCCGCGGGGCTCCTCCTCTCCCGCCGGGAGAACGCTGTCGCCGACGACGGCCGAGGCGAGGCCTACTCGACCACCGTCAGCGTCGCGGGCGAGAGGCACGACGTGTCCCTCGCCGTGGAGGGCTCCACCATGTGGGTCGCCATCGACGGCGAGAAGGCGCTCCAGGTGCGCCGGCTCCGGTGGAAGTTCCGCGGCAGCGAGAGGCTGGACCTACCCAGCGGCCGCCGCATCCGCGTCACGTGGGACCTCCACGGCTGGCTCTTCTGCCCGGACGCGGCCGCCGTCTTCGTCCTCCGGTTCGAAACCCCCGACGCGGACGAAGCGGACGACGACAAGGACGACGTGGACGAGTACGACGACGGCGCCAGCCCGCACGTAGTGAGGCAGAGTTCTTTCAGTTTCAGGAACCACCACCAGGCACACGGCGGCGGCGGCGGTGGCGAGAGCTGGTACAGCAGCGACAGCGATAGGAGGGGGTGGAGGCGCGGCCCGTTCAGGTCGGGCTCAGACACATCGCCGTCGGTGTCGGTGGCGTCGACGTCCGCGGCGTCGTCGGCCGGCAGCGTGGCCACGGTGTCGGAGTGGGCGGCCGCGGAGGAGGCGGCGGCGCTCAAGGACGGCGGCGGGTTCTCCCTCGTCGTCCAGCTCTGGAAGAAGAGGAGATAGTGGTATGTGCGTCGCCAATCCATTGCACTGCCTGCCTAGCATTGCATGGAAGAAGATCGATCGATCTCGCTCGTGCTTGGAATTTGGAAACCAATGCGTGTCGGAGCGGAGAGGAAAGATTTTGTGAAACTGGATGAACGATCTGCGAGTAAAGTTTTGATCTGTCGTGCTTTCTGTATGCGGCTCGGTCCATAAAATGGCAACAAATTCAAAACTTGAAGATTTGCTCTGATTCTCTTTTGCCTATTTAATTCAACTGAGATTATATATATAAATGAGCTATCACGGGCACATAAGTCGTTTCGTAGCAGTGCATTAGCTTTGTTATTTGGATTACCCTTGACTCCGTCACAAGCACAAGTTGTGCTGTGACTGAGAAAAGGTCAAAAGAGCCACGACTGGTGCATTAGCGGCGCATTGCTCTAATTGCGAAGTAAAAATTTCCCCTCAAGCTCATTTGCCCACGCCTGATTCACCCTTCTTGTCTTTATTATACTTCATTATCCGTTTAAAATAAATCAATTTCTAAAATCATAGTAAGTCAAACTATTTTAAATTTAACTATTTTTAAGAGAAGGATAACAACATCTATGACATAAATAGGTATACTATGAATTTTTTTTATATAATATATCTAGTGATGGTAATTTGGTGCCATAAATATTGATGCTCTTTCTACAAATTTTGATCGAACTTAAAATAGTTTGATTTTGAAAGCTTTTAAGCATTTTACAGACATACCTAAATTATAACTTGGATTTTGGTACATAGTGGAAACAAATATCCTAAATTGCAAGTAGAGATGATTCCAAGCGACACCCTGAATGGTCGAGCTTATAAAAATAGTGGCGTTGGTTTTAGAGTTCTGAGTTCTGAGGTTCTCTAATATCCTCAAGATTAAAAGAGGCCCGACGAGACAATAAGTGGCCTAGTTCTGGCTAAGGGTGCAAGGGAGCGGTGATGAGGCAGCACACCGCTATCGGTAGTGCTAGACTGGCGAGTCGAGCCAGGGGTGATGGGTATGTAGTGAGCACAGACTCGGCGCCAGTGATGCAGGTTGGCACCGGAGATGAGAGGAAGTTAAATGTAGGAGTAGAGGGTGTATTGTTGTGGCGCCTATAGAGAAGATACTCAGGGTGTTGAATGGAGGAAAAAGAGAAGACACCAGGTATTGGATGGAGAATAACGAAAACTTTAATTTTCCAGACACTTGAAATATGACATTTTTTTAGTTGAAAATGTTGGGTTTTGGAGGGAAATACTCAATCCATCCCAAATTGTGTGGGGATGGGTATGTAGTGAGCACAGACTTTTTTGACATCAGTGATGCAGGTTTTATTCACAGATGAGAGGATATCAATGTTTCGGAGTAGAGAGTTTTATTAATAAAAATTCCTATAGAGAATGACTTAAATTTGAATGGGATATATGAAGACACCAGGTATTGGATGGAGAATAACGAAAGCTTTAATTTTCCAGACACTTGAAATATGACATTTTTTTTAGTTGAAAATGTTGCTCCATTCGCTCGTAAATACAAGGTATCCTAGGATTGGATTTTAGGTCAAGTTAAGGGAGGTAAGAAAAATCAAATGTACCCCCCACATCAAACTAAAGTGTTACAATCTTTGATTTGATTGGCCCAAATATGAGGAAAGAAAGAGGTGGGCCGGGAGAGATACATTATAAATGAATTAATGATGAAGGAGCCTTAGTTTACCCTAAATCCATTACATTTAGGGGGGGAAACTTCAGTCATGTCTTATACTATTTGGATTTGGAAGTCAGTACCTCTCTACTACCAAGAGTACCTGCTGCATCATCCAAAATACGGCACCTGTCGGTACCTTTTCCGTGAATGAAGCGTAAAAAGACACTGTTTTTTTTTTTCTCCAATATCGCTCCTAGTGCGCCAGTGATGGCGTATTACGTACGAGGGATCTCTGTCACGTGTAATTAGTAAAATTCACTTCCGCGTGTCGACACTCTACGTCAAAGATTTTAAAAACTTTGGCTGTACACACTCAACAGCGACATATACATACCCTTTCTGGCTTTCTCGAACGACAGAGATGGCGCCGGCTGCATATGCACCGCGTCCATATTCAAATCCGATGGTCCGTTCCTCTTTTCCGCCGATGGCCTCCCGGGCGAAACAAAACCCAAACCCTATTTTGATCTGCAAAGCCGTACGTATGGTGTGGTATTGTCTGATCCGCAGCCCGCAGATTTTGTTTGAAAAAGAGTTGCCACGCAAGTATCGGCCTCCATTTGACTTCCTCCGTTCCCGTCTGAACGCCGAGGCGGCCTCGCGTCAGGTCGCGTCGCGCCGGTGGGCTTCTGGAGCTGGGCCGGTAGTGTAGGGAGTGGGGGAACGGCGTGCAGTGTGGGCTGATTCGGCGGAGTCGCGGAACCCCCAGTGGCTGGGCTGCCCCGTGCGCCGACCCGGGCCGTCTCGTCAGGCCGCGGGCGACGTGCCCGGCACTTGCGCTGACAACTGGGGAGAGGGGAGATCGTTTGATCGATCACGACAAATGTTGAGAGACCAACCACGCCGTTTCCACCGACGAGCTGCGTGCTGCTCTACTACGACTGCACGACGCCGGCGCAAGAGGATCCGCTCTGCTGGCGACTGGCGTCAACTCTTGCTCTTGGCCGGCTCAGCTAGCTTGTCCGTGTCCACCATGCTTCGGCTACTGGTTCATTTCCTACATACATACATATAGGAGTACCACTACCAGCACAGTAGCCTAGGTGAAGATACCTGGAAGCTGGAAGTCTGGAATCTGGATGGATGCGGCATTCCCCTCTGCGCGTAGGGGTACGGCCGGTCGGTCCTCCGCCGGAGAATGCGTTGCATCAGGAACAGGGAGGTGGCCAGGGGCCAGAGTGACGGGCACCCACGACGGACGGGGAGCTGAACTGAACATTTGCCCGCTGTTCCTGTGGGAGAGCGTCGGTGGGTGCGTGCAATGCCATGCCACCCCTTACCTACGGTACGTGATTAATTAGTACTACAAGGACACTTTCCCTTGTCCTTCTGATCGAACAAATCCTGGACGTCATCTGCACAGTGCAGGCGGCGGTGTGGGTAGGAGAGCAAGCGCGAGGCAGCCAGCGAATCATTGGTGGCCGCGGGGATTAGCTGGGGGTGCAACCGCGGCAGCTGAAAAGGCCGCCCTACTCTCCACTCTCCATGGCCACGTCCGGTGTGCGGGGGCGGCCGGGCGGCACGTTCCAGCTGCGGTTGCGCTTGCGCGGCAGACGGCATGCTTCGTCAGCTGGCGATGGATTCGGTCCGGTGGCCGGCAGGGGGACAAGCACGGAAAAGGCGCTGTCCGGTGTCCACAGGAAGGAAGCCCATGATGCCCCATCAGCATCCATGATTAGCCTTGCCGCCTCCGCTTTGGCCTGCCCAGAGCCCCAGACCCAGAGAGGCCTGAATCTCATCATTCTGCACCGTGACGATGTACTCCTAGAATCCACACAACAAAGATATCGGATTGGATTCTCTCGAGCACTGCCCTGCCTGTCTCAGCGGATATTTGAACGTACGGGATGCTCCAATCCGGTCAAGGTGACACGCATCAGCGAGTCGATTGGTGGGATCGGAGCACTCTGTCAACAATTGGCAAGTGGCAGTCGCTAGCTAGGCAGCTTGCTATACCTGCACGACTACTAGTAGTAGTAGTACGTGCAGACAGACGTGCGGTCCGTCGTCTTGACGCGCGCTTATTACCGCAGGCGTCATCGGAGTCAAATACCATTACAGCTGCCGGTCGGGTCAACCAGCATTTGCAGCCTTGCCGGTCCAGGGCGTGGAGCGCCACCAAAACGACGCGTTCGTACACCGCAAGTGCGCCGTCCCACTCGACCCACGCCCACCATCAAACTCCCTACGTACGTGCACTAGCACCAATGGCCTAGGGCTGAACAAGCAAAACTGCAAAGGTGACGAGAGCAGCCACACTGGTTAGTGGTTGCATTCAGTCACCACTCTTCCTATTCCTAGCATCGCCAAGCCTATGTGCTGGTCTTCAAGCCTTCGATGCTTGCAAGTGCAGCCTGTGTATGTGTTGGTGTTGGATCCAAAGAAAGAGGAAAAGACGAATGCATTCCAAGTTGGTGTTGGATCACTCGCCCAAAGAGAATATACATGGATGGATCAATGACAAACAGCAAGAGACACGTCGTTGATCACAACCTGCTATGATTATTAACCACCAAATAGTGCTGGCAGCTGGCAACAAACACAGACAGTAGCTCCGTCGGCCCACTGGATGATATCACTAGAGCCTAGCAGAATTAGTACCAACAACCGGAATTAAAGACCTGAATTAACCACGGTAAGTACTACTCCGATCCTACAGTAGGCACGCACTACTACTACTAGCAAAAATTGAAATAATAATATGCACAGAGTTGTTTAGTATAGTAAAAATCAGGTAAGAAGACTGTAATAAAAGAAAATGATGTTCTGGAGAAGAAACGGAGCCGTTTACGTCGTGGACCCCGACGACGTTGACGTCGAGGCGTCTGCCAGCGGCAGCGGCGGCGGCGGTGGGGAGGCAGACAGCGGCCGGGGCATCGTCAGGTCCTTCCGCCGGCCCACGGAGAGGGACCGGAAGAACGTCCTCGTCCTTGGCGGCGCGGGCGAGGCCTCCTGGCGCGCGGAGCGGCTCCCGACGGCGGCGGCGGCGGCGGAGGATGGGCACGACTCGCCGCCCCCGCGGCCGCGCACGACGGCGCGGCCGTTGCCCGGGATGACGCAGGTGAAGACGACCCCGATCTTGGCGAGGCGGTTGACCCAGCGCGGGATGCGTGCGCGGCCGGCGACGAGGCGGCGGCACGCGGCGTCGCAGAAGTGGTTGCAGTTGCGGGACACCAGGTTGTAGGCGTCCCCTGGAAACTCGGCGGCGAGGTCGGACATGAGCGCGCGCACCTCGGCGCGGCTCAGCTCCGTCGTGCCCACCAGCACCGACTCCCGGAACGTGTACCCGGGGCACCGACGCGGCACCACCTCGAAGATCCCGCTGCTCGCGCCGTCGTGCGCCCCGTACGCGTACTCCACGCCGTGAACTGCAGCAGCAGCCAGTCGTTGTCAGCACACAGCCACAGAGTCGTCGTGTTAGGACGCGGCGGAGGAGGAAGGAGGGAAGGAGGGAGGGAACCCGCGCGGGGGTGCCTGGTGAACGAACGTGCCTTGCACGCCGGAGTGGTAGACGCCGAGGCCGAGCCACCGGGCGTAGCCGTTGGCGGGGGTGACGTCGTACACGTTGAGGAAGACGGGGCTCGACGCCGACGCCGCCTCGCCTGCGCCACGCTGCTGCTGCTGCCGCGCTGCCCGCACCGTCGGGGTGGAGCCCGCCGAGGAGCCCATCAATCCGCCTCGCCGGCGCGTCTCCCGTCGCGTCCGCGGCCGGTGCTTGCACGGCGAATTCCACGAGTAGCTAGCTAGCTAGCTAGCTTGTGCGCGGCTGGCACTGGTCGCCCGCCCGGCTGGCGAGACAAGGTGGGCGGGGGTCGCGCAACTCGCGCCCCGGGACGCGCGCGGACCCCGGCACCCGCCTTGCCTTGGTGAATGGTGACAAGGACAGGAACTGTAGTAGAAACAGCAAAAATCCCGCGCTGGGCGTCGCCTTTTCCCCTGCTCGTTTTGCTGGGATGCGATGATGAGTGTCCCGGATGCGCGCGCTTTACTTGATTGGCAGTGCGCGCTTGGAATAGGGAGAGAGAGCATGGACACTGCTGATACGCAAGCTTGTTTGGTGCCGTTGCAATCGATGTTTGCTTCCACAGGAATGAATGTCTGGGCCTGGGCCGGGAAGGAAGGAGGGGGTACATCACTGATTCTTTCTTTTCCCTTTCTTTTAGCTTTTGTACGTATAATAATATATGTGGGGCCGGGGGGGGCACTGCATTCTATGATGATTCAGCTTTCGGTGAAGCGAGGGCCTGTATAGATTTAAAAAATTTGCGATGATCCGTCGATCGAATCTTTACAAGATATGTATATAAGTAGAATAAATGTAGACGAAAAAAAAAACTAATTGCACAATTGAGTGAGAAATCACGAGACGAAACTTTTAAACCTAATTAGTCCATAATTAGACACTAATTACTAAATACAAACGAAATGCTACATTGAGCCAAAATCCAAAAATTTTTGATCTAAACGGGGCCTGACTGACCTCGGCTGGTCAATCTCGACCTGCTTTAAATGGAAAATGAAAATTTAGTTGTCTCTGTTACTCGTAAACTGCCGGCATAATTCATCTCCGCTGCAATCCATGCAATTGTACATCTCCGTCCTAAAAAAGAAGCAATTTCATTTGAGTAAATTTCTTTGATGCCATTGTTATTTGTGTAGCCTCCCTTATTGTCATTAAAAGTGTACATCCCCCTAGTACCATTATTTGAAACTTGTGTTTTCCTTGACGCCACTTCTATCATTAAACCGTTAAGTTGCTGTAATGTTGGTACGAAATGACAATTTTGCTCCTCCCAACTCCTAATAAAATTTTGCTCATTTTCTTTAAATTGGTCCGTTGTGCTAAGCAAATGAATTTGCACGGTAATATAACATATGGGAGTACATGACATGAGGAAAATATAAGTTTAACACAATCTCACGTGTATGACACATCTTGGATGGGCAAGTCATACTGTCCGGCTAGACTAGGTGCATGCCATGTTAGAGCATAATTTTTAATTCATTATTTTTAATGAGAATTACAAAAATATACTCAGTTTCAAAGGAATTACAGAAATAGCATCAAACCGTTCCAGAAAAAATATTTTAAAAATCGTTAACTACAATTTTAATATGAGTTAAGGGACCATGACGCCTAATGGTCTAAAAGGGGTGAACTAGGTCACTTAAAAACTAAGGTCCAAAAACTATATTTATAAAAAGCCTATATAAGTTTTAGAGTTAAATGCACCAGCGTTCCTTAAACCTATAAGACGGTGTCATATAGGTTCATAGAACTTTGAAAATACATTTCTGCTCAATGAATGTCCATCACATCATAATTTGGAATGTCCACGGTCTGAACAACGATGCTCGTTGTGGCCTAGTTAGAGAGTCTGCTGTTCTTCAGGAATATATGTCCCCATTCTCTCTCTGCAAGAGACAAAGGTGGCTAACTTTCATTGGCCAAGCAGGAGGCGTTGCGGAACCTGCTCCATGGCCCATGGGTGTCGTCGACTCGTCGAGGGTGCCGGGGGGAAGGCACGCTCACTGCTGGGGCTAAATTTGAATTGCTCTATTTATGTATTGGTCGAAAGCTTGCGTGCATAATTGTATAAGTATCTTGGTCGTGCATACATTCGGCTTCCCTACGGTGCAACAATCGTGGTTCTCATGGGGAGCCGAGTGATATGTGTTGTATAACAAACTTTAACCTCCTCTTAATGAAACACGAGCCGGAAAGGCCCGTTCTCGAGAAAAAAGCTATGTACCAAGAGCCAAGAGATAACAATGTCGTATGACATACAACGAAAATGCCAAAGAAAAACCACCCTTGTGTATACAGCGATAACTCTGAAAGCATCAGCAGCCTTACTGTCCCTCCAACACCCATGTACAACAATCCTGGAGCTAATCCCTTGTCTAACCTGTGTTTACGAATGTTTCCTGCACTAACATCATCTTTGTTTCTTGCCGCCAGCCAAGATCCGAGAGATTTGAAGCCCTCGGCTAAATGCCTGATTAAAGAGCAATCTCGTCTGGAACTCCGAGACAAATGGGAACCATGCCAGCACCGCCAACGGGACGAAGATGACGATCCCCATCAGGTATTCGTACCCCCTCGAGAGGGCCTTCACAGATCCCCACAGCCCACGTGCCTTGATCACCGGTTTACTTGCTTGAGATATCTGTTGTAAAGGTCAGAAACGAATTGGAGTCTGAAATGTTTTCTATAGCAATCAACCATTTTACAGAAAACATCGAATACTCGCAGAGGTAACTTCCAGCTGGCCAATAGTTTAAAGTTATTTTCATCTCAACAGTTTTTTAGGCATCATACTTAGCATATGACATTTAGGAGCTTGAGAAATGAAATTAGAGGGGTGGAGGTACCTGCAGAATGGCCCATCCTGTGGGTGCAAATGCAAGGAAGCTTGCGAATATGTCACCGACTGTAAGATGCAGAACAGTGAAAAGAACAGCCAGTGTTCCAACAGATCCGATGAACAAGAACAATTTGAGAAGCCAGAACATAAGCTGGAAATCCGCACTAAATTTCTTCCTACCCATGGATACCACCTAAAGAAGACTTTGATCAGCAACTTAACAAGGGCAGCTCATTTTGAAGAACTTAAAGAAGACAGTAACTAGATGCACACACAGCATATACATGTATTTCAAAGCTACCAGGGAAATAAAATTCACCTTTAGGACCATCACCACAGCAACAATAACCAGCCAAGAAAGACCATAAACCTGAAGCCACAAATCATATTTTTAGTGTACAGCCACAATAATAGCGTTGAATAGTTCTCTTAAACAAGAAAAGAACTGTGTGGTGGTTTATCCACAAAGCCTTGTGTTCATTGAACTCTTTGAAGAAAGAAACTCAAATGAAAAAAAGAACTTACAGAGATGCTTTTGTTGCCAGCAGATATATTCAGGTGGTACATGATACCATATTGGAATATGAAGAATCTGAGAGATAGTATGATTTCCCAGAAACGGCCCAGTAGACCTGTGGACTGTAAATGTTCCTGCTCCTCTTCCCACCAGGATTCCCAAGCCTTGTTAGCAGGAACCCCAATGCCACCTCGACCGCTAATCCATTTGTTCCAGTCATCCCAGTCATCTAATATTTTCTGTCACTCAAATCCTGATGGATTGAAGAGGAATGGAGCAAATAGCCAAGTTATGACCAAGAACCACATTGATGATGTCAGAAGTATATAGGCAGTCGAATCTGTAGCAACATCACCATACAACTGATAGACTACTAGCAGTAACATCAGCTCAAGTCCTTTCACAAAATGGCTTCTGGAGTACATTCTGTAATTCTCAGCAAACCTTACATGGCGAACAACAAAGCCTCTGCCGGTTGCCCTATATTTTGCACCGCCATGGAGAATTGTGCGGCCAAAATAATGTGACTTGGTCCCAAGGGACTAAGGGAGAAAGTGAAGAACACTGAACAAAGCTGAAGTTGCATGATTATGAGATCCCCTAGGGCACTTCTGAAACCTCTTTCTAGCCCAATCTCCATAAACATTGGCAATGCCATCAAAAGACCTAGCTGCACAATAGACTGAGATCCCATAGCGGCTTGAAGTGCACGGTTCCCTCTCATCCGTGCTTGTTTCATAATTGCAAACTCCAGTCCACTTAATGCTAAGTACAGTCTTCCGTACAAGAAAACATAAACTATTATCACAACCATCTACACAAAATTAAGACAAGAACATGAGAAAACATGTGATGGAGGAGAGCTGTTGCTAACAAATACTGTAATGCAAGCTGGTGCCATATATACATTACCATTGAGCTAATATAAAACCCAACAGTTGTAAAATAGCACGAAAGCATCCAGAAGAAGTCAAATCGATGACCAAGCTTGTAGATATCTCTGCTGAGTACCTGCTCCCCATTTCTGCAAGCCACTTTGGCCTCAAAGAGAGAAATTTGATTGAGACCTACATCACGCCCTTTTCCCACTTGGATGTACTCATGATGGGTGACATTTCCTCTTCTTAGAGTCGACTTGAAACCTGAAAATAATATTCAACTCCATGCATTCAAGAGCAGAGATGGGTAACAAACAGAAATACATGAAGAAAAACTTTTGTTGAGAATGTGCCTGAGCGCATGTTTCATTAAGTCACATACCAGCAAAAATGTCTTCACTTAAATTTATACCACAGGAAGCCTTGCTGATGCCTCCTCTTGTAATGTGAAAATCCTATCGAACACATCAGGATGTCCATAGTGAAAACGTACCCTGCACAGATAATGAAGTACGTCAGGTACAGAGTATTTAGACTACAAAGTGTGACGCCTTGTGTCTTCTCAGAAAGTATCCCAACAGTTTATCCTGTCAACATGCTTAAACTTGAAAAGCTTCATGTAGAAAAAATTTCAAGCAACTGATCTATTTTTTATTTACTTGTAATCTGAGACATGTTCATGTGTGCTTTCAAGTGCAGAAAGAATATCCTTAAATGATCATCTCGTAATATTTTCCTTAGGAATAGTTGCCATAGATGCTCAGCAGATCCAATATCGTATTGCAACATATAAGACACTCAGTGTTACATCATGATAATAATTGATATTTCATTCCAATATGACATAAGAAAAATGATTCATACTTACTTCAATGGATTAGCGAGGACCCTCTGTCCTATTGTCACAAAGCTGGTTTCCTGGTTGCACATAAACCATGCAAGTGACAAGACACTACAATCCACAGTTATCAAAAATTAGTTGCTGATGTGGAAATTATGATGAAGAAAACACAATGATAACCACAAAGTTTAACCTGCCTTCCAGTAAATATACGCTCACGCACTCCGAGAATCGTGGATTGACGGACACCATGGTTTTCATTAAACTCTTCCAGCAAATTTCGCATTTTCAAAGCCTCCTCCAAATAGTTGTCCTGAAGATAATTCATAAATACAACACATATTGCAACATATATCATGACTTGTACCATAGCCACTCAATTCACCTGATTCATATCGATAGTTTGGAGTGCTTCATCCCGTGTAAAAATGATTGCATGATTTTGATTTTCTGGTTTGCCTTCACCTAATTTTGCTGGTCCTGGCAATTTTATACGGTATATTTCCTTCACAGATACAAAGTGTAAGCATTATTGAAGTTGACACCATAGGTTTGGAATGGTGGAAAAGGACTCGTACTCATGGTTGAGCTCACCTGATCATGATTGTCGAGAGCTTTTACTAGAACTGAATAAAAGACCTTCTGCACCTTGTCACCTTCTCTCTCTTCTACTTCATCAATGTATGACACACGCAGACCAGGGTAACTGTAGTTTCAAATTGAAATTACCTCAAATCGATTAGTTTTTTTTTTGGGAGACTTCACTATAATTCAGTGTTAACTACTGAAATAAAAGAACAACTGAAGTAGTCTCCTTAAATTGGAAAAAACATCTTGGATATATCATATCTAGTGATTGGCAAAATGATCTAATTCTTATTTCTCTCAGAAGAAACGGCTTACTTCACCATCAAGTTCAAGATATCTGTTGCACGTCGATCACCAGATTGTTTCTGATTTCCATATATCTGGCAAGTAGCAACATATGTAAATTTCATGTCTGCTACAGCCTCGAGTTGAGAGGACAAAGATCTTTGGCTTTTCTTCTCCTCCTCTGCTGGATCTGCAACTGCTTTATACCCTTCCAATATCTCTGCAAGAAATAAAGAGCACAGATCAGCAGCATTTTTTAAGGCACTTAAAAAATGCACCAACTGGAATTTGAACAAGCTTACCAGATTCAGAAGCCATGTCAAGGAACGCTTGAAGCTTCAAAGCCCTCCTATAGTACATCATGCCTCTAACTACTCGCATATTAAAAGAAAAACATATATCTGGTAGTTAGCCAAGTCATCCTTATTAGATAAGATAAGGCAGATGATGATCAAATTACCTGTTCTACAGAGTGTCTGCCCTCTAACAGAAGCCCAATGACAAAGTTGTAGGACATTTTCCTCGTTTCCCCATACTTCACTTTCTCTTTTGCAATTAATTCTTTCCATGAAATTGTTCCATTCATCTACATCAGGAATCAGGATAAAAAAGGGGAGAAATCGGTGACATAGTAATAAATAATTGAAGCATTAAGACTGAAGGGAAACCAAAGAGAAATGGAACCTGGATAGATTTTTTGTAGGTAGAATATAATTGATACACCATCTTCATTCTCCAGATCAAGATCACTTTTCGAATATACAGTTTCCTCACTATAGTAAGGAGTCATAACACTGCCAGGTGCATAGAGTGACATAAATTATGTAGAGTTCAATCTTTTGCACTGAAATTCTTATTACAGAGTACACTTAAACCTAACAGGGATAAGAGATGTTGTCATGGTGAATTTATACTTTTTCTGGATATAATACGTTTAAATGCCACATGTACAACATGGTTGCTAGAGAAAATCAGAAAAGTTTTTTTATGTACTAGATCGCATCTGAAAAAAGTTTTTTTATGTACTAGATCGCATCTGAAAAAACCATTTGTGTTTCTTTTGTGTTGTTCAAGGAAAAAAAACATTTGTGTTTCTTCAAACAGAAAAGCGTACACTTTGGTCAACACAAGAATAAAAATGGGATCAGGGTTTGGTGATGGTATTTATATTTCCCACATTGGCTATTTGGCTTGTCCCTTTCTGGACGTATTCTGTTCTACTTGAAATGAATCAACAATAGCCACATTCCAGCCATTGGTTTAAGTAACACATATGAAGTACTCCCTCCATACTAAAAAATGAGGTCATTTTGGACAAGGCTTGGGTCAAACATTGGGAATATAAAATACGAGTAACTTTTAAGTTGTCGAGTTTGGAAATGTGAAAACCATATGTATAGATTTGTCTTGAAAAATACTTTCACAAAAATTTACATATATCACTTTTTGATAAATATCTTTATAAAAATAAGTAGTCAAAGTTATGCTTTGGAGACTGTGTCGCTGTCCAAAACGTCTTCATTTTTTAGTATGGAGGGAGTAACTTCTAATAAAACACAGAAGTGTAACTTCTGTTCTAGTAAACATCACAACTCAGCCATCAGGGATTCAGGTCTGAAATCAGGACTGTCTGAATCAAGCCAGAGCAAAATTGGCAACAGATGTAAAACTCACAGGACTTTAAGAATGTTTCAGAAGCAAACCAGTGCCATTATGACATCACCAGAGGATTTATTTATTTTTTTCTCGAACTACGCAGGAGAGCTGCGAGTCATTTCATTAAGATAGAAAAGAAAGTACATAGAGAGGGGGAGAGCCCCCAGACTAAGTACCAAACACACCCCCACACTTACAAAACACTACACACCCAAAACAAGGAAAGACCTGACCATAGAGCACCAAACCTAAGATGGTGCTACAAGCGACCTGGCAAGCAGCTCTTTGAGCTTAGAAGCTCCAGCCAAGCACCATAGGGTGCTTTCATTTGTTATGGCCTGCAGGAGCACCTGGGAGTTAGGGAGAACACCTTCAAACACGCAAGAATTTCTATGTTTCCAAATCTCCCAAGCCACCAAAATGATGAGCGAATTTAAACCCTTTCGCCACTGATTTGGAGCAGCTCTAATGACTTTGCTCCACCAAGCTGAGAAGGTAGAGGAGTTTACCGGCACATCAACTACCAGATTGAGATGTGAGAAGACCAAAATCCAAATTTGTCTAGTAAAAACACAAGACAACAGCAGGTGGGGGGCTGTTTCCTGCGCTTGGTCACAGAACAGACATGCCGGGGGGTGCTGCAGGCCCCTCCTGGCCAGCCGGTCAGCAGTCCATAACCGCTGTTTAATAGCCAGCCAGACAAAGAACTTGCAGCGTAAGGGAGCCCAACTTTTCCATATTCTTTTCCATGGGATAAACTTTATTGAGCCAACGAAAAGGGCTTCATATGCTGACTTGCTGGTGTAGATTCCAGATTGGGTCAGCTTCCAGCGGTGTTGATCCGGGGTATCCTGATTTAGATGGACACCATCTAACTGATCCCAAAGTAACAGGTACTCCATCAGGACCTCCACTGAGAGGCCTCCTCTAATATCTGAAACCCAGTGCCTGTTGGAGAGGGCCTGTGCCACTGTTCTAGATTTGACAACTTTCTTAGGAATAGTCTGAAACAGATTAGGAGCAATTTCAGCCAAAGTTTTTCCTTCCAACCATCTGTCTTTCCAGAATAGGATTGTTTCCCCGTTTCCAACAACCGAGACCACTGCCATGTTAAATAAGGCTTGAGCCTTTTGGGGTACCTGGATATGAAGACCAGCCCAAGGACGAGAATGATCTGTTTTTTTGAGCCCAAAGCCATCTAATCCGCAATGCCCAACCAAAGGACTCAATGTTGTGTATGCCCAGACCTCCATATTCCAAAGGGCGTTGTACCTTTTCCCATGAGACCAGGCAATTTCCACCATTTGCCTGTTCTTGTCCTTTCAAAGGAAACCCGCCGCTTTTTGTCAATAGCTTTGATAACCCATTTGGGCAGGTCAATAGCCAGAAGATGATGTATCACAGAAGCCGTGAGAACCACCCTAGTCATAATCAGGCGGCCTGCTCTATTCATCAGAGAGGCTTTCCAGCTTGGGAGGTAACCAGCAACCTTGTCAATCAGAGGCAGGAGTACTTCCTTGGAAGGTTTTCTGATTGTAAGTGGTAAGCCCAAATAAGTACACGGAAACTCCTTTGTGGAGCATGCCAGGTGCTCCAAATTTGCTGTACCTCTTCCTGTGAGCACTGAATTGGGAAAGCTGAACTCTTGGAGAAGTTTGTATGGAGTCCAGAGGCCTGACCAAAATATCTAAAATCTGTTTCATTGTTCTGAGATCATCCACACATGGTCGAAGGAAGATAACAGCATCATCCGCATAGAAAGAGGCCCTATGAATGGCCTGCTGTACCGTGAGGGGTTGCAGAAGGTGGTGTCTGGTGGCATAGTTTATCAAGGAATTGAGTACATCCATTACCAAGATGAATAGCAAGGGTGCGAGGGATCACCCTGCCTAAGACCACGATGGTGGAAAAACCAGACCCTGGCTCACCATTAACCAATACCTGAGTAGACGGCAAGTAGACAGCACCAAGCATATAAGATTACACCACCGCTGTCCAAAGCCCAGGTGGCGAAGAACCTCCAACAGAAAAGGCCAAGAGACAGAGTCAAAGGCTTTTGAGATATCCAACTTTAGGAGAACATGCGCTTCTTTTTCCCATGCAAAGCCTTGGCCATCTGTTGTACAAAAAGAAAGTTATCATGTATGTTCCTTCCTCTAATGAAAGCACTCTGATTGGGAGGGACCAGGCTTGGCAAGAGAGGAACCAGTCTGTTGGCCATGATTTTTGTCACCAGCTTGGCGAAACTGTGAATTAAACTTATGGGCCTGAAATCCTTGACCGAGTTGGCGTCCTGCTGTTTTGGTAAAAGGGAGATGAAAGCTGTGTTGAGCAGCCTGAAACGAGCCACATGACCTCGATGTATAGCCGATAAAGCCGACATGATGTCGCTTTTGATAATACCCCAGCAAGATTTATAAAATCTGCCTGTGTATCCATCGGGTCCTGGGGCTTTGTCCAATGGCATCTCCTTTATTGTAGCCCATACTTCTTCCTCTGTGAAAGGGCTCTCCAGCGAAGAGATCATGCTGCTGAATCCCAATTTCTGCAAAGTCAATGGTATAATCCCTCTCATCAGCCGTGCCCAACAAATTCTCATAAAACTGCAGGACTGCTTCTTGTTTATCTTCTTGGTCAACTACTGTTTGATCACCCACTTGCAACTTTGCAATGAAGTTTTTCTTCTTCCTGTAACGGGCTTGCTGGTGGAAAAAGGACGTGTTAGCATCACCTTCCTTCAAGTACAGAACTCTAGAACGGAGGCGTGCAATAGTACGTTCAAGAGAAGCCAATCCCAAACAGTGAAGCTTAAGTTTCTTCCTCAGCCATTCCTCACTTGGAGAAAGATCCCTGGAATCCCTAGCAATCTCAAGATGGTGCAGAATTTCCTTGGCTGTCCCTAGCTGAAGCTTGACATTACCAATTTTCCGTTGGCCCCATTTCTGAAGGTCTCGGCTAAGTCTCTGAAGTTTGAGGAAGAGCCGTTCAACTGCGCAGGATGAAGATACTGGAGCATTCCAATTCTGCTGAATTGCTTCTATAAATCCGGACATTTTAGTCCAAAACTCTCAAAATGGAATCTCGTTTGCCTCTAGTACTAACCTTCAAACCCAAAACCAGTGGGCAATGATCAGACACAACCGAGGCGCTGCTCTGTAGGACGGCATCAGGGAAGATATCCTCCCAAACAACACAGCAGAAAGCTCTATCAAGCCTCACGAGGGTGGGAGAAGATCTTTCATTAGACCATGTGTATTTCCTTCCTAACAGAGGAATTTCTTTAGCCTCAACATCATCAAGGAAGCGCCTGAACCGACCCATCATTGCTCGATCCAAATTGGTATTGTTTTTATCAGAAGCTTGGTATATTAAGTTGAAGTCCCCCGCTATCAGCCATGCGCCCAAACATAAAGCTCGCACATCACGAAGCTCTTGCAAGAATGCTATCTTATCAACATCATCTTGAGGACCATAGACTCCTGTAAACCACCAATTGCGACCTTCTTGTTCCTCAAATTGAACTGAGATAGAATAATTATCCACTCTGGAAGCTAGGATCTGACAAATATTGCTTTTCCAGGCAATCAAGATCCCTCCCCTCGTACCATCAGCTGGCAGTTCCACATACTTGTCATAAGCAGTGCCAAAAACTGAGAGGAAAATTCTCTGATTCATAAAAGCAATTTTGGTTTCTTGAAGACAAACCACAGGGGCATTTGAGGAACGTATTACATCACTAACAGCATTACACCGGCTATTTTGGTTAAGGCCACGCGCATTCCAAATCAGAATAGAAGATGGATTCATGACTAAAACAAAAGAATTTCGACCGGCAAATTGAAACCAGGAAGTTACAGGAAGTCCCCTGCTCGAACCTGAGCGTCCTCTTCGATGTTCCAGCCGAAGATAGCCGCCATGGCAGCCACATGGCTCTCATTGAGTTGGCTCCCCATAATCTTGAAGTAGGCATCTTGAGTCTTGAGATCAATTTTTTCTTTGCACGCAAAACCTAGACTCCTCATAACCCTCCTTTGTGCTTCGGTGGTGACTAGTCCTGGAGAACACGGGTCAACTCCAGCCACCCTTCTGCTTCGTCGAGGTAAAGAACCCGGAGCCACAGCTTTGACGCGCCTCATGTGAATAACAGGCAGCGGTAGGAGGCTATCTGTTGGCTTGCAAGCTCTTTCAAGTTGGGGGAGCACCGGAGTTGAAGGAGCAGCCGCGTCCACTTCCCTGAAGTGTGCGGAGGTAGAGGGGGGCCTAGTACGGAAGCGCAAGCGAGAGTACACTCGCAGCGCCCCGGCCCTGGAGCCGTCAGCAGAGGACGTGTGCGGTGCCACCGTCAGGACTTGAGGCCGAACAGGCGTGTCTTGACTGTCAGCTGGGGATGGATGGAGAAGCTGGCCCGTAAAGAAATTCCCCATAACAGGGCCGTCCATAGGCAGATGGGCCGTTTCCACAGTCCATCAAGCAGCCCACTAACAGGCCCGGCCCAAGCGCTTTCGAGGGGCCCGAAGATCCGAGCGCCACCGGCGAGGAGGCACCGAAGTCCAGCAGTTCAGCGCAAGCTGGGTGCTTCCGCCAATAAAGGCGCCGCCAAATCTTCGAGAGGAAACTTGTCACTGGGCTCTTCGTGTTGTCGCACTGCACTTCACCAAGATATCAAGGAATTGAAGGAGAGATCCTCTGCTATTTCTTGTACAGGATTAAAGTCCATTAAGACTACCGATGGGGCAGCGCACACAGCGCCTCGGGAGCAGGAGCTTCCTTTGTGGTTTCCCCATGTGATCGCAGCTCATTAAAAATGACGGGCCCATCTAACGGCCGACGAGATTTTCCTCAATCTTCTGCTGGATCCGTTGGGAGACGAATCAACTTCATCAGCTTTGAAGCTCAATAACTCTATCTTCCTTGGGATCGGGCGCTGGAGACGCCACAGAATCAACTCCATCAGCCAAAGCGCTTTGAAGCTCAATAACTCTATCTTCCTCGGGACTGGGCGCGGGAGACGCCATAGTAGCTGTATCTTCCTCATTTGTGGCCCCGTCAGGATGCAAAACATTAACAGCCAGCAGCACAAGAGCAGCATCTTCATCTCTGATGGACCCTTCGGGCTGCGGACCAACAATGATGGTAGGTGCAACCTCGGAACCCTGCGGATTGCACAGGGACCGAACAGCCCCCAGCCTGGCATGCACTGGGGAGCGTGCCTCCGAAGGAACTCCATGTGCCTGATCAGTTTCTTCCTCCGGCGAGCCACGCCGCCGCCGCCCAAATGCCGCCACAGCGGGCGCCCTTGGTAGCGGGCGGGCGGTCTGAGCAGCCGGAGCAGCGATGTCGGGCTGTCGGGGCGGCTGGTACAGGAGTAGCCAGCGGTCGGGGTCGACGCGTGTAGTGGTACGTGAAGGCCCGATCCGATCGGAGAGGTGGGAACCCGGGTGGGGGTCCTGTGCCTGCATGCAGGGCAGGCTGGATGTAGAGCGGGGAGGCCTCTCCAGGCATGCTAGGCAACGTCGTGGCCGCGCGTGGCGCGGGAAAGGTGGTCCTGGTAAGTAAATCAAAGGAGAAGAATAAGACAAATATCACTAGCCACATAATAAATATACAAGTCGGGTAAGTAAATCAAAGGCTATGAATAAGATGATAAGTAAATCAACGGTGATGAATAAGATGATATTACTAGACAGATAATATATATATAAGGTGGGTAAGTACATACCAGTAGAACAGGAGCCCAGAGCGACATGATGGCACCAATATTATAGGATGCTGCAAAGGTAATAGTTTTATATTATATAAAGGAAAGAATGCCCTCAATGAAGACCCTACCCAAAAAATAAAGAATGAATGAATGAAATAATCAATTACCATTTGGAAAAAATTCATGCCACTCATAACGAATATTATGCACACCCATTACGTCCTTTGTTGGCTTTATCAGAGGTTGAATCTGCAAATTAAGATGAGTTTTAGATCCAGCACATAAAAGAATCATTGCAAAACATCTAATTATAGAACTTACTTGGACAAAGTAGAAGAACGAAAATTTGGAGCATAACAGCAAAATCCAAAAAAATGTATACCTTTGAATTGAACAGAGGAGAATAAGCATCCCAAGAGAGAAGACTAGTAATAGTAAATAAATATTGAAAATAAACAAAGAGTACATGAACTTACTTAAAAAGTGAAACTTGGCTTTCGTGCATTCCACGGCCAACGTAAATTCGTTTCTGCAATTTTTTGTGCAATTAGGATGGTATAACAAGTGTATGGAACAAGAAACGGTGCATGGAATTATTTTTATGCAGCAAAACCAAGGAGAAATCTCCGAAACAGACTTTCTAAAGAAATCTCCGAAACATTGCTTGGGTGCATGCTATGGAAATATTTTGACCGACTTGACTGTGGAAGTATTTATGCAAACATTTTCAGATACTGCTGATTAGACATCTACATTTGCTGGAGTAGCACATAATATGACCTCCTTTATTAATTATGTAGCTCTAATAAATGCAATAGGTAATGCTTGGCTGAAGAAATATTGTTAGAGAAGAGAATTGCAGTATGCTTTGAAGAACTATACAATTACCAAAACCATACTTAATCAGACAAAAGTCAAAAGATGAGATAATTATTTCTTCCTTTACACTCATAGTCCTTTGACATTTTTTTATGGGACTGTTTTATGAGCTAACTCTTGTCCAAGTCCAACTACAAACACTAGGATGCCTGACAGATAACACGAGATTGCCATATAGTAGGCATAACAATCCAAATTGACAATAATTCCGGATACTCTTGTAAACTTGACTGTCATTCGAATAATCAAAGAAATGATCAAATGCATTTTTGCAAGATTGACCAAATTACAGATCTAGAGAATCTATGAACAAGAGCATGAATAAGTCAGTGACCAAATGCATTTTTGCAAAATCAATTGAATCCTGTCCAAATAATAGCTCAAGACTTTGCCGAGTAAAAATTTGTTGTCTCACAGCAGAAACTTTGGGAAGAGATTTTTACAAACATGTTGCATAAGTAATTTTTGAAAATATATATACAACAAAAATAAAGAGACTAGATTGAATTGAATACCTGAGACCACCACAAAAGCAAATCTAACAATATGCCAGTCTGAATTTTCTATCCACCTTCGGAACATTGGAAACAGGAAGAGTGCTGCACTAAGGACATTAGGCATTAGGTACACTGCCACAGCCAGGATATCTAGAGGTGGCACCCCTTTGACATAACGGAGATTTTTTTTTTCTCGAACTACGCAGGAGAGCTGCGTGTCATTTCATTAAGATAGAAAAGAAAGTACATAGAGAGGGGGAGAGCCCCCAGACTAAGTACCAAACACACCCCCACACTTACAAAACACTACACACCCAAAACAAGGAAAGACCTGACCATAGAGCACCAAACCTAAGATGGTGCTACAAGCGACCTAGCAAGCAGCTCTTTGAGCTTAGAAGCTCCAGCCAAGCACCACAGGATGCTTTCATTTGTTATGGCCTGCAGGAGCACCTGGGAGTTAGGGAGAACACCTTCAAACACGCAAGAATTTCTATGTTTCCAAATCTCCCAAGCCACCAAAATGATGAGCGAATTTAAACCCTTTCGCCACTGATTTGGAGCAGCTCTAATGACTTTGCCCCACCAAGCTGAGAAGGTAGAGGAGTTTGCCGGCACATCAACTACCAGATTGAGATGTGAGAAGACCAAAGTCCAAATTTGTCTAGTAAAAACACAAGATAACAGCAGGTGGGGGGCTGTTTCCTGCGCTTGGTCACAGAACAGACATGCCGGGGGGTGCTGCAGGCCCCTCCTGGCCAGCCGGTCAGCAGTCCATAACCGTTGTATAATAGCTAGCCAAACAAAGAACTTGCAGCGTAAGGGAGCCCAACTTTTCCAGATTCTTTTCCATGGATAAACTTTATTGAGCCAACGAAAAGGGCTTCATATGCAGACTTGCTGGTGTAGATTCCAGATTGGGTCAGCTTCCAGCGGTGCTGATCCGGTGTATCCTGATTTAGATGGACACCATCTAACTGATCCCAAAGTAACAGGTACTCCATCAGGACCTCCACTGAGAGGCCTCCTCTAATATCTGAAACCCGTGCCTGTTGGCGAGGGTCTGTGCCACAGTTCTAGATTTGACAACTTTCTTAGGAATAGTCTGAAACAGATTAGGAGCAATTTCAGCCAAAGTTTTTCCTTCCAACCATTGACATAACGGAGATATTTATCTAAATCCTTGAGTGGTAATAAGTTGACTTTAGATGCTGTGCTAATGTAGAAAAATGGAAGAACCACAGCCCACGTGGCACTAACTATCATCTTCAGAATATTTCTCATGATGTCAATGAACTTGCATCTATGACTGCCAGGAAAGTTCAGAATTAAGTCCAAAATGCCTGCCATCAATTATAGAAAAAGGTCAGTCATACTTTGAACTAGAAACATTTTTTTTAACATAATGGCAGGAGCTCTGCGTTTCAAATAAGGAGGAAGAAAGTGTAATATTGTGTTAAAATATCTGAGGACACATAAGCTCCAAATTCAAGAACATGGACAGAACATGACTGCTCCATGCTACATATAGTTCTCAAGACTGATGAGATTGGAAAATTTTGGGGATCGGTAGAAGGTATCAGCAGAAGGTTGGACAAGCGATTTTTTTTAAAAACGAATTCACCAACTGAAAAGTTGTAAGTGGTAAGGCTAACAGATATTATCAGATGTTCTACAGATTCCTTCTAGCAATAATTAGATATCAGTCATTAGTCCACATTTGAATTCCATTATTTGTTCAGGATCTATTAACTGAGAAGTTCATCTGACACCGTTTTAACAATGAAGAAAAGTTCAAATAGTTCATTCCACCCTAAAAAACCCACTTTGTCAATCACTTTACAGAAGGTTAAAGTACAAAGAGTGAATTAAAGAACATAAGGCAACAATGGCTTTGGCTTCCATAAAGATATATAGTTCAGAAAAACTTGCTGCCTATCATGTTGATATGTAAATATTTAAGAAAAATTTTGGTCAGCAAAAGCATGTTAAAGGAGTATTAGAGATATAAATAGATATGTATAGCCTGACTTGTATTGTACTTCATATACTTGTACTCCAAGCCTTCTCGGCTATATATATGAAAGGCCACCCCCCTTATTGGGTGCGCGGTGCATTGTCTCTCTACAAGGAGATTGTTTAACGGGTGTGTCCATGCAAAAATACTAACCCCAGCCATGGAATCGGCTTGTAATCGGATCTTTTTTTTCTATCTATCAATGAAATGATACGCAGCTCTCCTGTGTTTGAGAGAAAAAAAAAGCATGTCAAAGGGGAACATACTTTGGAGGAACTGTAGAAATGCTGCGGTGACGAATACACTAGATAGAGAATACAAAAGGTCTTTCCGAAGGATTTCGGTCACTGAATAATAATAAAAAAAAAACTGGACCTGCGAGGGTATGACCACCCCCAGGCATTGCATTAAGAAGAAGACCTTCTCATGCAGGCCCAGAAAACCCCCGAACCCCTGCCCCACCCTTACACAGCGGCACCGTCGCCCTGTGAGAACGGGTCGGTCCTTAGACCTGTGCTTTGGCGTGGGACAGACGAGGGGATTTTTTTAACCCCAGCCTGAAATTCGCTCCCACGGGGAGTCGAACCCAGGACCTGAGGAGTGCCGCCGGGATGCTCTAACCAGTTGGACTAGAGGCCCTTTGGCGGTCACTGAATAATCATTCCAAGCAAAAATCAGCATTGCCTGTTCAATTAGTCACTAGAAGATTAGCAGGTGTTAAAACTGTTTTCTTTTTTGAAAATACAAGTGTCAAACTTTAGTCAAGATAAAAGAACATCCATATGCAATTTCAGTATAGTACCTGTAGAGCCAAAATGTAGAAAGTCCACATTCGGTCAAAACTTCGGAAGATGTGCCAAAATGTTCTAGTCTCAACAAAATTTGTCTTCCCCATACTTTTCGTGGAATCCTTTTGTGGTGAGCTTCCAGCTTATAAATAATGTTTGTCAAAAAGCAACTCCCAATCAAATTTCTTGGCAAGAGATATTGGCTGAACACATATGGATATCAAATTTGTACCGTAGTTACAGGCCTTGAATCATGCACGGATTTGAAAAAGTCACCATCATCCCGCATAGGCCACCCAAGTGAGAAGCAATCAATGTCCTGAGTGAAACGGAGTAGGACTTGTTACACACAACGTGAAGGACTGGTTATCCATAGAGCAAAGAAGAAATATTTCCCTTTTATAGAAGAATGGCTAGAGCGCCCATTGTGATCTTTTTAATATTCTTTGTGTCCTTTTTTTGTTTCACGAATTCTGTTGCTTACACACTCCTTTTTAATTCTATTATTAATATATTTTAACCAGTAGGGGGCTACCCCTCCTGTTTCTTCAAAAAAAAACATGGAGTAGATATGTACTAAGAAAATAAAGCAGTGAACAGACCAGAAGTACTCATTTAGATCATCATAGTTAGACCACGCAGAATGTGGTGTCTTCCCATGTTGTGATTTGCCTGCCTCCTGCAAATAATCACAATTGTCCGTATTTAACAAAACTAATTGCGCATTTTTCTATGTGATGATTTATCAAAGTACCTTTCTGATGACTCTATAGAAAGGTGTAACCACTTTCTTCAAGAATGCCTCCTCATCCCCACCATAAGATGGCCTGATATTCTCCCCGGTCACAATACTAACGTTTCCAGCTAGCAGACCATGCAGCTCATATGCCATCTGAGCAAATCGAAGATGGCATGTCACAGTGTATAAACTTTATTGCACCGAGCTTTGCCACAAAATATGATAATTAAAAAAGTGTATCATACATTATGGAAGATGTAGCAAAGACACTCCGGCATAAATCTGATATTTGCTGCTTCACCCCATATAAGAAGATAAAGACCTAGGTATAGAATCTTCCGCTGCTGAATTTCCTGTGGTTGTGCGCCTTGAAGAAATCTGCAGTCGCAAGATCATCAGTACCATTTACAGTAAGAGTAATTTTTTCTCTGATAACAATTGTAAGGAATATTACACCTTAAACTATGCTTCCGTGACAAAAATTTGCACCACTTCCTGTAATTGTTGAATAGCTTAGTCATCACCACATCAACAGCTCGGTCATCAAGCTGTTTGAATGATAAAGAAAAATTCCAGTTAACTGAGAGGCATAAAAAACAAAGGGCTTGATTAGTATTCTCTAGTAATACACTTGAGGCACATGCATGCAATCTAATACCCAATCTGTTGTGTAATGTGTCTGTGTGTGTTTGGACTGAACTATAGTTATATTCTTCACCATAAGATAGAATGCAACTAGTCAATAATCATCTCACATTTTATATGCAGCTATTTCAAAACTCAGTCAATCTGATGCCAGTATCACGGCACGTTTCTAGCCAACACAATTTACTTCAGGAGACTTACAAGTTCGACAACAGAAGAATAGTCGCATAATATATCAAAATTTTCACATCTTTATGGTCAAGCCACCAAAATGAATTGTGCAAAAGAGCAAACCTTGCTGAGTGGATCGGGCTTTGGCTCCAGCCTAATGTGGACATTAGCAAGGAGGAGAATCAAATGCTCTCTTTGATTCCGCACACTATCTCGCTGCACATAAGAAGAAAGCTAATGTTAGATACAAATGTTTTTTTTTTGAGGGGATGTTAGATACAAATGTAACCAGGCTTTACTAGGAATATAACCAAAATGATCCATATTCTATCTACAGTAGCGCAGGACCAAAATTCCAATAATAATAAAAAGAGCAAGCAAACTGAAATAGAACCAGAAGACCTGAAAGCCAAACATAGCTCTCAACCAATCCAACAAATCAAGGTCGACACCCTTCTGCCTCTGCAGCTCGAATGTTGAAGGCCAGGTCAAGCCCCGTATGTTCCGCAGGGCTGCAACTGCTGCTTTGATATGTTAATATTGCACTATTTCATTAAATCATGCATTCCACAGTTATGGATCGTACATACCTCCTCCAGCTGCATGATGGACTGGGATGCACTGGCAGCATCAAGGGGGAGGATATTGAATGGTGTGTAGATGTCTTTCTTCTCTTGCACATCCTTGTGCAAGCGAATAATCTGTGCAGGGGAATATTAGAGAAACTCATTAGATACATTGCACCCAGACCCCACTCATGTGGAAGTCTCCGGCACTGGGTCTGCCCTTTCATTAGATACATTGCAATAGAACTAATTAGAATAGATGGCAAACACGAACCTCAGGATTGAGCTCCTCAACTTTCTCATTTTTATTGACGGCGCAGAGTACCTCGAAGAGAACTCCAGCGGTCTGGTAGGCCTTCCCAAGTTGAGCCCTGCAAGCGACATTGACATGGGACATGGTACGCATGGGCAGGATTAGATTTATACATACATTGGAGAGCTCTGGTTGGAAACTTGGGAATTACCTGTCAGCTTGTACCCCTTTGTCAAGTGCACGAGCATAGTTCTCGTAGTACTGTTGGTAAAAACTCTCGATCTCATGAGCATCGCTTTTCTTCACACGCTTAGCAAGACTAGGGCTATTATCCTGTGTTGTTGCAAAAGAGTGAAAAAAATACATTCTCAATAGTTCAAGAGCAAGTTGTGAAAGATATAACAAAACTAATAGGGTATTTGGTTTGAGGAATCTTTCCATTCTAGTAAAAATCAAAAGTCAAGCTATTATCATGTGTTGTTTCCAACATAATGTACCTTCATTTTTAGGCTCACAAGCACGATATATTGTTCAAGTCTAGGGCCACTTTATCAAGTGCCAAAACCTACCATATATATGTTCCACATAAACAGAGCTAAAATGGACGAAAAAAATTCTAATTGATATGATGCTTGAACTACATGTTTAATAGTTCAATAAAATAGTAAAAAAACATTGCTAATAGACAAAAAAATAAATATTTCATTCAGTAGTGCAACAAAACAGTTAAGGATATTGTATGGTACACACACAAATAAATGTTTCATTCAGTTGTGTGTGGACTGTGTGGGTGGGGTGGGGTGGGGTGGGGCGATAAGACATCTAAAGTCTTGGTCATCTTCACTACCGGATTCAGGTTCTTTGCCGAGTGCCTGAGGCACTCGGCAAAGGCTTTGCCGAGTACAAAAAATTGATCGGCAAAGCCCTCTTTGCCGAGTGTCTTTTATCGGGCACTCGGCAAAGCCTTTGCCGAAAGCCCCGGGGGCACTCGACAAAGAAAAGCGACCGTCACGGCGCCGGCCCCGTTGACGGTCGCTTTGCCGAGTGCCAACCCTGCAGGCACTCGGCAAAGATTTTTTATTTTTTAAAAAAAAATCTTGCCGAGTGCCCTCTATCCGGCCCTCGGTAAAGATGTTTTATTTTTTCTAAAAATTCTTTGCCGAAAGTGCTCCTCGGCCTAAGCACTTTCGGCAAAGTTTGAATTTTTTTGGGAAAATTCTTTGCCGAGTGCCCTCCGGCCCTCTCGGCAAAGTTTGAATTTTTTAAAAAAATTCTTTCTTAAAATACCATGGTCATGGCACTTTCGGCAAAAGCTGAAAAATGGTTTTCCGAAGCGCCCATTTTTCGACTTTTGCCGAGTGTTGTGACCATGGCACTTCTCGACTAAGATCCTTTGCCGAGTGCAACACTCGGCAAAGTGACCCAAAACGGCAATTTTTAATTTTTTTTTTACATTCCATCATGACAAATAAATTCATACAAACATATATCACATATATATCTCATCCATCACATATATATCTCATCCATCCACACATCCATCCGCACATATCACATCCATCACAATATATATCACATATATAATAATAGGTGCTCAAGTCCATCCAAATAAATCCACAAGTCCATCACAAGTCCATCAAAGTCCACAAGTGCATCACAAGTATATCACAAGTCCATCACCAAGTGAACAACAAATGAAAAAAATACAACGTGCACTTATCTCGGCCACTGCGACTGTGGTGAAGGCTCAGCTCCATCATTCGGAGGTGCATGAGGTGGATTATTCGAACCACCGTCAGATGGTGACTACATAAAGGAGAAAAGATTGCATTTGAGACAAGATTATTTGGATAGCTAATCTAGGAAGGTAGAGGCCATACAAGCAAAGCACTAGCGAAAGTAAAAAAAAATTCATACTCACAAGAGTAGCTGCAGCTGCAGAACGCGGAGGCGGAGGTGGACCAGGAGATGGACACCATCCACATCTAGCATGAATTGTTTGTAATCAACAAATAAGCACTCTACTTGTAGGTAGCTTGTTCCGGTAGCTGAATTGGAGAATAGTTAGCAAACAACAAAGAGGTTGAAGCATAAATAATGTCCTTTTCTCAGACAAATGAAGAGTAGAAGCAATCTCTGGTACACAAATTGTCCATGAGCATATGCTGCCAATAAAACAGCTTGTTGCACTACAAGAAGAACATATAGTAATTTTCAAGATCTATTGCAATCAGTGACCTTTGAAGATCCATCGAGATCTTCAATTAACACAGATTAGAATACCCTTTTTTAACTAATTAACTTCAGAATCATGAACATGTAAATTAGAAATTAGAAGCAATTAAATTCTTGTCTTGGCACCCCACCCCCCCTTCCCAAAATAAATAAATAAATAAATTAGCATAACCTGGATTTAAACAATAAAATTGACAGATAAAGAAGTTCAGAACTAAAGGTAACCATCTGGAAGGAGATAACAGTTAACAAGGAAAATTTCCAGAAATTATTCTGAAATTAACTAAACATCAGTCTGAGTAAGACGCCCAATCTGAATACAACTAAACTCAACATACCCTAACAAGACATGTACTTATTTTCATAATTGTTCAATAGATCATTTATGTTAATCGTAAAATCATAAAAAATAATCAACAAATCTGCTTTGCTTAAGGTCCTGTTTGGTTGGGCTTTTGGCTTTGGCTTTTGGCCCCAAAAGCCAAAAGCTCAACCAAAGGGGCTGTTTTTTGAGGGTGCTTTTTCAGAAGCAGCTGTTTTTCCGTAGTTCATTTTTGAAAGCTGGGTTTGACCCTGCTTTTGGCTTTTGGCTTTCTGCTTTTCGAAATTGGTGGAATAAAAAACTCTTCCATAGTTGTTTCAAGAGAGATAAAGATAAAAGGTATATTTTATACTTGTTTAACCAAACAGCTTTCAGCTTTTCTACAGCTCACAGCCCACAGCAGCTTTTCCACAGCTCACAGCCCACAGCAGCTTTTTCCCATAGCCACAGCTCAACCAAACAGGGCCTAAATCTGGAGTTAGCACAATGATATAGACAACACAGAGCAAAGCACATGGACTACCTTAAGAACTAGTAGTAAATAATTCCTTCATTTGTAGCATAATATGTTACTCCAGACAGAGCAGCTAGCGGATTGCATACGAAGTACCAAGGCAGCCATCAGTTCCCACTGAAAGCCTGAACAGCCTTGCCCACTCCATGGCTAAGGCTAACCAAAAGAATGGAAGATAAAATTTTCGTCTTGCACCTAGAAGCCCTGTTTGGCAGCACCCGCAGCTCCATGGAACCCCGATTCTCTCCTCATCATCCAAAGGAGATTCGAGAAACAGCGCCGCAAAAGAGGTCATATTTCTTTCGCCCGTCTAAGCACTTAAGCAGTGTGCGTGCCATATATAACGAGAGAAAAAAAAAAGTAGCAAAGGCAAACCTCGCCGGCTCCGGCGGAGGAAGCTCCTGGACCTCGTCGTCGCGGCGCCTTAGCCGGCGCTGTCCACGTCATCCTCGCTGAGGCCGCGCTCGAACTCGCGGAAGTCGACCTCAAAGTCGTCGTCCTCCTCCTGGGGCGCTCCCTTCTTGCCGGGCCCTGGCCACAGCAGGTCCGCCGTCACATGCCGCTGCTGTTTCTTCTTGGCGGCCGCCGCCGCCACCCCGGACGGCGGGATGAAACCCGAGAGGATGGCGCCGCCGCACATCGCCGCAGTGGGGTGGTGGTCGATGGATTATTGGTGTGGAGAACCGGGGGAGTGGAGGGCACGAGCGGCACAGTGACGAGCTGGGAGAAAAGGAGGCCAGGCAAGATCTTTGTGGTTGCGGCTCGGCTTTGATAGCCCCTGTGGCTCTGAGGTTAAATCCCTTTGCCGATCTGGTACTCGGCAAAGTATTTTTTTTTAATTCTTTTTAATTCTCTGCTGAGTGCTCCGGATCTGGTACTTAGTAAAGAGGGGTTTTTTTAAAAAAAATTATTTGCCGAGGGTTCCCGATCTTGCACTCGGCAAAGTATTTTTTTTAATTTTTTTAAATTCTTTACCGAGTGTCATCCGGCCTGGCACTCGGCAAAGAGGGGTTTTTTTAAAAAAATAAAATTCTTTGTCGAGTGCCGGCCGTCCTGACACTCGATAAAGAGGCTCCTTTGCCGAGCGCCAAACTCTTGGCACTCGGCAAAGACCCCTTTGCCAAGTGCCATGCCCCGGCGCTCGGTAAAGTTTTATTTTTATTTCTTGCCTCCAAATTTTTTGTGCAGCCCTTTTTAAGTACCAGGAACTCCTTGTTAGAATTTAGAGATTTTTTATAACTTTTTGATATATTTAGTTACTTTATTTCGTTTACTTGAATTTTTTTTGAAAAATATAAATTTGAACTGCACGTGGTATGAATAATGGAATTTAATGATTTAAAAAATGATAGTCATGTTACTGAGTGTAGTGTGAGGCCATATCCAGGAACGGATCCGAAATTTCGAACATTTTGTTCACGAAACATGACCGCGAACTTGCGTGCGAAGTGTTTTTAAATTCTATAAAAAGCAAACAAAGACCGAAAATCTTGAAACTTGTCTAGATGTCATTATATCATATGTGGAGGTTGTGATAAAAAATTGAGGAGGTTTCGCGCAAGTTTGTCACGTACGATGCTTATCACCTCGTCGGCCTCTTCACGAAATCATGAAACTTCTTTGGAGATTCTTCGGTTTACAAGCATCGTACGTGACAACATGCACGAAATCTTCTGAAATTTTTATCATAACCTCCACATACGATATCACGATATCTCAACAAGTTTCATGATTTTCGGGCTTCGTTTGCTTTTTATAGAATTTAAAAACACTTCGCACGCAAGTTCGCAGTCATGTTTCGTCAACAAGATGTCCAAAATTTCGGGCCCGTTCCTGGATACGGCCTCACACTACACTCAGTAACGTGACTAACATTTTTTGAATCATTAAATTCCATTATTCGTACCACGTGCAGTTCAAAATTATATTTTTCGAAAAAATTCAAGTAAACGAAATAAAGTAACTAAATATATCAAAAAGCCACAAAAAATCCCCAAATTCTAACGAGGAGTTCCTGGTACTTAAAAATGGCTGCACAAAAAAATTGGAGGCAAAAAATAGAAAAAAAAACTTTGCCGAGCGCTGGGGCATGGCACTCGGCAAAGGGGGTCTTCGCCGAGTGCCAAGAATTAGACGCTCAGCAAAGAGGTTTTTTCAAAAAAAAAAGTAATTTTTTTAATTCCTCTCTTTGTCAAGTGCTGAATCAGTGGGCACTCGGCAAAGACATTTCAAAAAAAATATTGAATCTTTGCTGAGCGTCATGTCAGGGGCACTCAGCAAAGTATTTTCCAAAAAATAATCTTTGTCGAGTACCTAATAGCAGGCACTCGGCAAAGAAGAACATGGGCAAACACCGTTACGCGGGACAGCCTATGCCGAGTACCTAACAGCAAGCACTCCGGCACTGGGTCTGCACTTTCATTAGATACATTGCAATAGAACTAATTAGAATAGATGGCAAACACGAACCTCAGGATTGAGCTCCTCAACTTTCTCATTTTTATTGACGGCGCAGAGTACCTCGAAGAGAACTCCAGCGGTCTGGTAGGCCTTCCCAAGTTGAGCCCTGCAAGCGACATTGACATGGGACATGGTACGCATGGGCAGGATTAGATTTATACATACATTGGAGAGCTCTGGTTGGAAACTTGGGAATTACCTGTCAGCTTGTACCCCTTTGTCAAGTGCACGAGCATAGTTCTCGTAGTACTGTTGGTAAAAACTCTCGATCTCGCGAGCATCGCTTTTCTTCACACGCTTAGCAAGACTAGGGCTATTATCCTGTGTTGTTGCAAAAGAGTGAAAAAAAATACATTCTCAATAGTTCAAGAGCAAGTTGTGAAAGATATAACAAAACTAATAGGGTATTTGGTTTGAGGAATCTTTCCATTCTAGTAAAAATCAAAAGTCAAGCTATTATCATGTGTTGTTTCCAACATAATGTACCTTCATTTTTTAGGCTCACAGGCACGTATATTGTTCAAGTCTAGGGCCACTTTATCAGTGCCAAAACCTACCATATATATGTTCCACATAAACAGAGCTAAAATGGACGAAAAAATTCTAATTGATATGATGCTTGAACTACATGTTTAATAGTTCAATAAAATAGTAAAAAACATTGCTAATAGACAAAAAAATAAATATTTCATTCAGTAGTGCAACAAAACAGTTAAGGATATTGTATGGTACACACAAAAATAAATGTTTCATTCGGTTGTGTGTGGACAGTGTGGGTGGGGTGGGGTGGGGTGGGGCGATAAGACATCTAAAGTCTTGGTCATCTTCACTACCGGATTCAGGTTCTTTGCCGAGTGCCTAAGCCAAATTGCACTCGGCAAATCCTTTGCCGAGTGCGGCATTCGGCAAAGAACACACGGCAAAAAATTGATCGGCAAAGCTCTCTTTGCCGAGTGTCTTTTATCGGGCACTCGGCAAAGAAAAGCGACCGTCATGGCGCCGGCCCCGTTGACGGTCGCTTTGCCGAGTGCCAACCCTGCAGGCACTCGGCAAAGATTTTTTATTTTTTTTAAAAAAAATTCTTTGCCGTGTGCCCTCTATCCGGCCCTCGGCAAAGATGTTTTATTTTTTTTCTAAAAATTCTTTGCCGAGTGCCCCCTGGCCGGCGCTCGGCAAAGTTTGAATTTTTTTTTAAAAAAAAAACCCTTTGCCGAGTGCCCTCTGGCCGGCACTCGGCAAAGTTTGAATTTTTTTAAATTTTTTTTTTGCCGAGTACCATGGTCATGGCACTTTCGGCAAAAAGTGGAAAAATGATTTTCCGAGCGCCCATTTTTCCAGCTTTGCCGAGTGCAACACTCGACATAGTGACCCAAAAATAAAAAACAAAAAAACTTTGCCGAGCGCCGGGGCATGGCACTCGGCAAATAGGTTTTTGAATTTTTTTTAGAAATTTCCTCTTTGCCGAGTGCCTTCACAGAGGCACTCGGCAAAGGTATTTAAAAAAAAGTATTTTTTTAATTCCTCTCTTTGCCGAGTGCCGAATAAGTGGGCACTCGGCAAAGACATTTCAAAAAAAATATTGAATCTTTGCGAGCGCCGTGTCAGCGGCACTCGGCAAAGTATTTTCCAAAAAAAAATCTTTGCCGGGTACCTAACAGCAGGCGCTTGGCAAAGAAGGACGTGGCCGAACACCGTTACGCGGGGCAGCCTATGCCGAGTGCCGCGATTTTGCCGATAGCCTGGCACTCCTTTGCCGAGTGCCCTTTTTTGCCAAGTGCCCGGCACTCGGCAAAGATCGATTTTTGATACTCGGCAAAGACCCTGTTTCCAGTAGTGCTTCATTTTAAACGCGATCTATAAATTTAAATTGATGATTGAACTTTCAACAAATTGAATGGATAGAGTAAAGCTAGAAACAGCAGGAACTGGAAATTAGGGAGTAGACTGTAGACATTAGAGAGAAAAAATACTTAAATTTGGAGGGTGTAGGCGTGTAGCTATAATGGAGCAGACGTACAGGAGTGGAACTGTGTGAAGGCCAGAGAGCCAAAATGTGCTGCAATGCTGTCAGGACCCAGGGCGGCGCGGCGCCGCTGCTCCGGCTGCGCCCTGCCACTTGCTACCGATCGGCTTACACGAGCATGACAGTGTGAGCACAAAGCAGGGAACAGGCGGGCAGGCCAGCAATCCGAGATGAGTTATCGAGGACTGAGGGCGTCAGGCCGGCGTAGGGATCAGGATCCAACAGGGCGGCAGCAAGCGGGCGGTCGATGGTGTTGGGAGCGAGCGAAAGGGACGATCGGAGTTGTGGTGTCAGCGTCGGAAGGGACAAGGTTCCCGTTCCCCTGGTTGGACTTGGGCCTGATATTTTATATGGGCCAAAAATCTATACACGGTAGAAGGAGTTCTCGGAGTACAGATTACAACGTTTTCAGAATTATTATCCAACTGTAACGAATTTGACAGCAGAGTACAGATTACAATACTGGCAAGCTAAAAACAACAAGCAATAAACGAACTGAAATGAATAAACCCAAAGGAGAACACCACATACACTATAGCATGCAAGACAATACGGAGCAAGGGTGTGTCTCACCTTCTCAAGACGTTGGAGCAGAGCTGTCTTGAACTGCCTAACGCCACGGCCGATGGAGTTTTGATCCAGCCGGTGCGCCTTCTCGAAGGCATAGAACGACCTAATTTCACAGCGAAACTATATATATCAAGATGAAAGCATCAAATCGCTAACAGCTTGCATTTATTTTGCAGAAAGTAGCACAAGACTATTATCCAAAGTCTCAATTCCAGTAACGAGATACTATTCTAGCCAAACCGATCTGGGCATCATATAGTACGGTTTATTTAAACAAAAACTAAATGTACGCGCCTATTCTATCCAAGTCTCAAATTCCAGTAACGATGCCAATCTGACTGCAAACTGGTTTAGACAAACCGAGAAAGTATGGGCAGGACAATCATATAGTGCATCTAATCTGTGCTCTGAAAGACAAAATTGGCCCCGAAACGAACAATTGATGCATACGGATGGCCACATAGAAAACGAACTATGATACGTGCGGGTGTGAACATACTCCGAAATTTCCTCTCTGAAGCAGGGGGACATAGCAAAACCAGAAAAGCTCGTAGAGAAACAACAGCAACTCTTTGTCTGAACAGACTCGGATGATCACAACGATTCAGCAAAACCTCTTCGAAAATCACGAATCAAGGCGTGCATGTGGCCCAAAAATTCTCAGAATAAACTTGTCGAAACGCACGAACCAAAAAAGTTCGAAGCAGACAAGCAGGCTAAAAGTTCATCAGGAGCGCTCGATTAATTCATTTCGTCGCAAAATTCAGACCAAACGCGTCAAAACTACACGCGAGTGCGCCACAATAATTCCCGAGAGCAGGAATGCAACATACAGAGGTAGGCGACCCGGGGGCGCTCGTGCTCGATCTCGGCCGCGACACGCAGGATGGGCGCGATGCTGTTGAGCGTGGATGGGACGACTTCGTTGTCGAAGACCTCCATCGAGAAGGTGGCCATGCCCGCACCCCTCGACCCGCGGCGGTTGAGCCCCGACCCGAGCGCGGACGTCAGCGTCACCGGCTCGTTCCCCGCGGCGTGCCCCACCGCAGCCGACGACGGCGGCGGCTCGTCCCCGCCACCGCGCGGCGCCGTCATCTTCGCCGCCGCTCCACCACCACCACCCCGCGCACGCTCTCCTGGGCGATCCTCCTGCTGCATTGGGCTAGGGTTAGCGCCAGAGAATAGGGGGATTCGGGCGGAGAGAGAGGGAACGGACACAGACCCCAAACCGCGAGGCCGCGACCGCGAACGCTTCGCCGCCTTCCGGCTCCGCCTCGGCTCGCCTTCTCGGGGAAACAAACGGAGGAGGTGACAGGTGAGACGGGTGAAGAAATAGAGGGAGCGGTCTTGCGTGCCCGTCGTTATTTATACTTCGATCCGACGGCTCGGATGAGCTCCTCCTGGGGGAAGCGGGGCGCGGAGGAGATCGGAGCCGTCGGGCCGGTTGATCGCTGAGCTCCGCAGCTTGGTGAGGCGGTTGCTCACTCTGCCTGGACGGTGAGCCGAGCGTCGAGGCGGGCCGCTGGAACACATCCCGCCTTTTGTCACTTGACACTTCATTTACACACCTTGCCTTGTAGCGCTGACACCTGTGCCCAACGATACTCGTCTGTGAGGGTAGTGCGTCTTTACGTACAGAAATAATTGCAAGGCGCATGCGTTCTGTTCAGCCAGTTCTCAGGCCCGGTGTCAGTGAGTCGTTAGAACGTACTCGTACCGTGTGTGTTCCTGCCGTAAAAAATTCCGTGACTCCGATCCGTTTCACCTCCGAGGGCCCGAGGCCAAAGGCAAGAGGCGAGCTGCGGTGTCCGGCTGGACTTTTGTCTTCTTCCGCGAAAAACGGGAGGAACCTTCTCTTCTCTCTGTCACGTGGGCCATACGGTTCAACGGTCGCGTGACTTGCGGAACTGGCTAATCTGATGTCTTTGCATAGTTGCGTGACCAACGTACGTCTAGACTCCAAAGCATACGGATGCCATCTGGCTCTCTACTCTTGCTAGGCTTGAGTAGTTTAGCAAGAGGATTAAACAACCAATCTATCATAATAGGTCATGCTTTTGGTATGACCCATATCTATATCCATATTTAAAGTCCGGGAAAATAATCCATTCATATATATTTAATGCTCTCTATCTATTCTTGCTAGCCTTTTGATCTTTACTAGAACATCAGACACGTGACTTCTCTTCTAAGCCATTTTGATAGTTTCATCAGATAATTGCTTCATGCGTCAACAGTGAAAAATAATAGTTCATTTCCTAATAAAGCATAGATGGTTCGTATTCCTGTTTCACATCTAAAGCACTACAAAGGAGATAGATGAGAAAAAACTAATTATAGTGCATCAAGAAGGGTCGCACTTAGCAACCACGACAGGTGTACTTGCCATCCTCATGCTATCAGCAACAAGCCAACAAGGAGGCTAACTACTACAACAATGAATGGCTTCAACCTCTGAGAGATTGAAACTAAACAAATCAAGATTGTACAGTGGAGATCATAATTAATAATTTTGCATAGCTGGCGCTATAAAGCTAAGATGTCTCTAAAAAATGTAACATTAAACTGCAACATGTATCACTATGCTCTCCAACATTCATGAAATCATGCTTGATATTAATAATATGTTTCCATATGATTTATGATCCTAACTCACAATCTAAAAAATATATGGTACCAGTAATAAGATACTAAAACCTGCAAACTTAAATACAATGTATTTAGGCTAGTGCAACATATGTATGGCGATCTCAAGTATATCTTAAGTACACTCTCGTATTGAGATGTTATCTAACTCGTATAAGGGGGAAAAAGAGCACAACAACTACAGTCTAGTAAACTCCCACTACTACAGAACTGACATCTAGTCCCGGTTGGGAACTGGTTTTAGTCCCGGTTTCCCAACCGAGACTAGCGTTCCGAGACTAAAGGTGGTGTTCTTTAGTCCCGGTTTGCCACAACCGGGACTAAAGATCCTCCCAGCTTAAAAAAAATAATGCCTCCCACCTTTAGTCCCGGTTGGTATTATCAACCGGGACTAAAGGTTGAAGGACTTTTAGTCCCGGTTGGTGGTTCCAACCGGGAGTAAAGGAACCTTTAGTCCCGGGGGCAAAAAATGCCGAGACTAATGCCAAATTGGGATATCGTTCTAAAGTCTGTTCTCTAGTAGTGTCCAAAAGCTTTGCATCTTGACCTTTTTATCATGTCAGAGCTAGGGTCGCTTTCCTGTTCGAGATCTCATCGACCATTGAGATTCTTGGTAGGCACATTGAAAGACTTGTGGAAAGTACCTGGGTCTGGTGTGTAGAAAAGAATGGTATGTATGTTGTAAGTTCAACCCAGTGATTATTTATTTCTAGCTCAAGAATGGCTGACCATTTTAAAAATAACCCTGCCTGCAGTTTAGTTAATGAAAACAATCCAGTTCGTAAGTTCTTTGGTGATTTAAAATACACCCCCATTAATCTAAAGTTTTTTGGTGGTTTGTTATCAATAATTTTGTTCCTGGTCATGCAAAATTGGCCAAAAAACATATAGATGTCCAATTTTTTTGTCTAGATTGTGCAGTTGAAGAGGATACAACTTACCATGCTTTAACTCAATGCACTTTGGATAGTGCTTTATGAAGTTCGTTCAAAACTATGTATGACATTAAATTACTACACTGCTGCACCCAACTACCTAGAGCCATGACCTTCTTGACAGTACATTGTTTACAGGATAAATGTAATACTATCTTATGTGGCATGGGCATTATGGACAGAAAAAAAAAGATGAAAACATGGGGAAAAGAACAATTTCTATAACTCAATCACACCAGTGGGCATGGGAAATGGCAACTGATCTTATCCATTATAGCTCCTTGTCATATACCGATCTGAAGAATCAAGTGAAGAGAGCTCACTGATGTCCTCCAAATGGGAGTGGTCTTACGTCGTAATGCACGAGGTCGGTTCGTAGCAAATGAATGTAAATGGCATGATTTGATATCTAATGCCTCATATCGCTTAAGCTTATACCTTGTAACATCCGGTTTTAAGAACAAAAACAGATACACACCATATGTGAGTTCAGGAAGTCAAATATCACATATAGCTACAAATAAGGGTAATATCAAAATATAATGCTTAATATATACCGTACTTAATATAAAGGATATAATCTTCGACAGCAAACAGCGGAAAGACAACTCTGATCTTCGGGTGAAGACTCCAATTCAACAGGGACAACTGACTGGTTGATCAGAAGTCTAATTTCTCCAAACTCTAGCAATCTGGTACCCATTCGGGGTTTTTATCCAAATAATTGAAAAATAAAGCAAGCGTAAGTACATGTCGTACTCAACAAATATAACATGGGGTTCATGAGGCTCAAAAGGCTGACACTTGTTTAACTACGATTAGGTTTTAATGAGTCATCTTTTAGCAATTGGGTGGCAACAAGTTTATTCACAAGCCCATATAAACACATGATCAGGTAAACATGAATAATGAATAGCATAAACAATTAACCATTAATGAATATCTTTATCATCAGTATCATCAGTGTTCATCATCTATTCCGTAAGGCTCCAAGACCGCTCATGATCGTGAACACGGCTGATATACCAGTTTTACACTCTACAGAGGTTGAACACTTTCACTATGAGTCGTGATTTACCCTTTCGCCCGAGGCGGCCAACCTCTTGACCCACTACCAAGGAAGATCAGTAGGGTTCACTATAAAGCTTTTCAAAGGTTCGTCTAACAATTTAGGGCCATTAGATTCACTCGGCAAACAGATGTAGAGCCCCTCTTTTCGATAGCACAATGACTCGCAGCCTATACACAAGGGGATAGAGGCCACACTATACCTGATTCTTCAAGCCATTCTTACGCCATAAAGGTAACCTCTAACAAGCTAGAAAATGTCTTCATACTGAGCTAAAGCCAGAGCCATATAGCCCTCATAGTTGTACTGTAAGTCCCGGATGTTCGCTTACAGATAAGTCATTAGGGAGAGAAATCTAGAGCACTATAAAAATAGACCAATGCTCTAGCCCCCTTATTTTATGTTGCTAAAAAGAATCTTTTAGTGTTTATTACATATACCATTAGTCAAGTTACAAGATCATGGTTTCAGTTGAGCACTAGCATTATACTACCCAATGTAATAACCCGCAGGAATCAAGGTACAAGATAACAAAGTACTAGAAAATCCTTAGTGGTAGTCAAGGTAGACACATGCAACATGAATTAAATGATTAAAGGTGAATAGGACAACAAGGAAGATCTCATGCTATACTTGCCTTAAACTCATATCCTTCTTCTATTAAATTGTAATCTCAAAAAGACTTCTTCTGTATCACCAACTTCTTTTATATCACCAGCGCAAAGCTCACCGACTGGACATGATCATAGAACACCACACAAGCATGCATACAATTATACACGAAGCAAACAATATGACTAAATTAGAATAGTACACCAAACATAATAAACAGCAAGTAAAAATGTTTTAAAGATGTTCTACACGTTACTACGAACACACATGCGAAAAGCACTCTAATCGGAGCTATAACGAAAAAGTTATGAATTAAACAAGATTTTCTTTAATAAAATAATAGATTAAATCTAACCTCGAATTTCAAAAGTTAAAAATATATTTAACAGTAGTATGAACATGTAGAGTACGCAATTACGAATCTAACGCAACTTGAACTGATCAAATCGAAGTTAAAATAAAGATTTTATAACTAAAACAAGATTAGTGGCAAAACTGTAAATAGATGAAATCGTATTTTAGATCTAACCGAAGAAACTATGTTTTTAAAAATAGAAAACGTATTATGGGGAATACGCTTTGGACCGCGGGTTTGAACTTAGAAAACTTCAGGGGTTCTTTTGAAATTCTGCCGGTTGAAGGGGTACCGCGTGATACCGGTCGTTGGTCAAGATCGGGCGGCGCCCGACACTTGGGATGTTTCCCACTGGCCAGAACAGTAGCGCTGGCGGCGGCAACCATTGCCGACGGCGAGCAACTCACCGGCAAGCACAAAAAACGCCCTACAGGCCACGGTTGTCCGAAATAAAAGCACCGGGAGAAAAGAGGGTGGAACGGAGAACTCACCAAGGGCTTCTTGACTACGGGGAATCGAACGGAGAGGGCGTGGGGCTCGG